CTGGCAGTGCAGCAGGAACCCACGCCGTCGCGCGCGCGGAATGCGAGATTGCCGCGCTCGCATGCCATTCATGTGCAGCGAAAGGAAGCTCTACGGAAGCTATGAGATACGTGACGCATTTTCAGGATGAATGGATGCGTCGCAATGTAAAGAACTACCGCGAGTTGGCGGCCAAGGCGGGATACCCAATGATTGATCGATATAGTGACTGCACATAGGCTGACATGGTTGGCCAGAACCAGAAATTGTTACGTTGTATTCCATACTTCCCTTATTGAACATGCGAGCAAAACAAAACTAGACGGCCTCCGTGGATTCTTCGACGGAGGTCGCTCTGTGGAGGGATGTGCTGCAGAATGGTGTTTAGGTTTGTGTGTGCACGGGGCGTGGCTGTTCGTGGCGGAGGAAGCTTTCTCGCTTGATGCCTCTGCTTCTGTCGTGTTCTGTGTGATGTTTGCAGCGCAGCGGCTCTGTATGGCCGTGGTGCACGTTTTGGGTAGCCTCTTTCATCTCTAACCTGTTCCTACACCTTTGCAATTTCACGTGTCGTGCTGCATCCTTTTCCTTGTTCCTGCATCCTATTCCGATGCCTATGCCTCAGTGGCTCGGCAGTGTGATGATAAGAGATGCCTTCTCTAGCTACCCTGTGCTCCGTTTGGGGGTCTTAGGTCTCAGCTGTCACAGCTGTCCGCGCCCTGACTCAAACTCCAAAACCAGGGTTGACGGTTTACCGCCGGCTTCCAGTTTTTGGGTTACGTCCATTCTTCGAAATTCAACCATTCGTTAGAGCTCTCATATTTCCTCCCCATCTTCGATCTTATTCCCGCTCGCCATCTTGATCTCAGGTCGTTCGGGTGGATATTACTATCAAAAGGCACTCAGGCGGGATCGGCTGTTGAGTGTCATCTTGACAGGTGCTGACGGTCTTCTGAACTTAGTTCGAGCTGCCGATAAGCTACAGAGTTGTTCGGCACAGCAGCCGAAAGGAAATTGTCAGCAGGGCTCGCCTTGAGTATCTAGATGCCTGAGGCGGGTCTGCCATCAGAGCTGGGGCCAAAAAAACTATTCGTACTCTGCTCGTTTTTACGAGATGATGTTCGTTTTCGCTACTTTATTCGAGCTGTAGGCTGGGTACGGAGCTGGGGGGCATTTGTCCAAACAGAAAATCACCCGGCACATTCGCCTGTGGCATCGAGACGTCTGATTTTGGCCTGCAGCGAGCTGCGACTCAACAAATCTTCGCAATGTCCTTCTTACGAGAGATGATGTGCGTTCCCTCAATTTAATTCGAGCTCTAGGCCAGCTACGGAGCTGAGAGGCGCACCGATCGACAGGAAATGATCAGGCGCACTCGTCTAAAGTATACAGACTCTTGAAATCGGTTTGCTGCCAGAACTGCGACGAAGTAATTAATTGTATTCTTTAATGTCTATGAGAAGCGGTGCTGGTTCTCTGTAATTAATTCGAGTTATAGGAAAGACAGGAAGCTGGGAAGCACACCGCTCAAGATGAAATCATTGGACATAGTCGCCCACAATATCGAGACGTCTAGAACTGGTCTACTACCAGAGCTATAACTGAACAACTACTTGCATTCTGCATTTTGTGTGGGAGATGTGGTTTGTTTTCTGTACTGCAATCGAGCTGTAAGCTAGATGCGGAGCTCACATATAGACCAATCGACATGAAATGCCGAGAATTGCTAGTTGAAAACATTTAGACGGGTGAGATCGGTCTGCTACCATAACTGCGACTAAACAAATATTTGCGCTCTTCAAATTTCAGATCGGCGGTGTTGGTTCTCTCTATTTAATTCGAGCTGTAGGCAAGCTACGGAGCCGGGAAGCAGATTGTTCGAATGGGAATGATCACGAGCGCTAGTCTGCAGTATCGGGACGAACTCGAGCTGTGGACAAGCAAGGAGCTGTGAAACACATTTCTATGAAGCCGCATCCTCGCGCGCGCGCGGAATGTGAGATTGCCGCGATATATATATATATATATATATATATATATATATATATATATATATATATATATATATGGCAAGGAAACTCTACGAGTTCCCGGCGGTAACAGGGGGGACAGCGCCCTCGAACCCGCGAGAACCCCTCAACAAACAGGGGGGTGACAGCAGTATGTCCCCCCGGGAAGCGTTGTCTCCCCCCGACGCGTTCCCCTCCCTCAGGGGGGAAGCGCCGCCCCTGGGGCCCCTCCTTGCTGAAGGGAGAGCGGTCGGCCAGGCCGAGACTGGGCCAAGCGTGGCCAGCGGCGAGGCGAGAACACATATCGTCGTGGTCGTCGTCGTGGTCGTCGTCGACGCGGCCGTTGGGTTCCAAGCGGCGTATTTTCAAGGATGTCTCAAGCGAAATGTGTGAGGATGTCCGAATTCGAACCGTCAGGGCAGCCAGTTTTGTGAGGATCTCCCACGCGGTTCGCTGTTTTCGAACTGCCATCGTGTTTGGCGTAGCAGAATTTTCATTAGGCTACCAAACCCCAGGTTGCCGTCTGCCCCATTTGCGAGGCACCTCCCTCGTAACATTGCACCACGCTCCACGTCTTCGACGGGGCGGCTAACGACCTGCGCTCCCGTTGCGGACGCAGGATGGATGCGCTTTTGTCGACCCGTCAAGATGGGGCAATCTTTCATCACGGCACAGTAGCCCGGGGGGGTTCCTGTAGTCCAAAGCGGGGGGGGGGGACACTGTGATCTTCGCGTGGTGGCTGTAGCCCGGGGGGGTCCTTGTAGTCCGGGGGGAGGTCCCTGTAGTCCCAGGGTGTGCCCTTGTAGTCCGAGGGGGGATCCTTGTAGTCTGGGGGGGGTTCACTGTCGTCCGGGGGGGGGGGCCCTTGCAGTCGGGGAGGGGGGCCCTGATAGTCCGGGGGGCTCTTGTAGTCTGGGGGCCCAGAGTTATTGAGGTACGCAGAGTATAGGCGGCTGCATATGGTTGCTGGCCTGTATCCTGAGAGCGTGGCGCGAGACTGGAAAGGCGCTTTGGCCGAGTCCAGGCGCGGGCAGTGGGGGGGGAGCCTCCGACACCTCGCGAAACCTCTCAACAACATCCTTGGACCACCTGTCGCCCAGAGGGCTGGTGTGATTCTACCGGTTGTGGCTTCCGGAGCGCGGATCCGTCAGTTCTCATGAGGGATCGTGGCCCTGGGAGCTCGGATCGTGGTTCCATGCTCATCCTGAGTTGCTGAACATGCGGTTCGGGGGTAGGAGAGGTCGATTTCATGCCGAATGAGAAAGTGTCAAATTCCATTTCCAGAGAAACTGACCAAGTCGTCTGTCTTCTGAGGATGCGCAGCGGAGCTCTAGGGATGAGTGAAATTTTGGAATTGCTTCGTTGCCTTCATGACAACAAAGCTGCTACGCTGCTTAAGCCTCACCCACGCCAAGGGCCATGTGGAGTGTGGAGCAGAACGTACGCCCCGATTCGATGACTGCATATCTTTCTCAGATGTCGGCTCGGACCCTACCGACACGTGCTGCATATCAGTCGCATACCTGCCGCGTATACGTGCCGAGCCGTCTTAGCTCAATACCCGCTCTCTCCCCTGACCGGATATGATGGGTTTCCCTCGCGGGTAGACGTCCACACCCGCTCCTTGTTCCATTTCTTAACGCTTCGCGCATCCCCACCAGCCCACTCAGAAGTCCTGTCTATGAGAGCTGACGGGAAAAGGGATGAAGAGACACATCTTGGAAAACAAAGCGAGCAACCAGGGTGAACCGAGAGATCTCTGGGAGCAAGGTGGTGGCCTTGGAAGGCCTCTTCGGGCCATCCCTGGGTGCCGCGTAGGGGCGAGGGGAAGAGGAGGAGGAGGAGGAAGAAGATGAGGACGAGGAGTACGAGGAGGACGAGGACGCGGATGAGGATGAGGACAAGGAGGACGAGCACTAGGATGAAAACTATCAGGGGACATATGACGAGGGAGAGTGCGAGGAAGAAGAGGAGGATGAGGCGGAGGAGGAGGAGGAGACACCCAAAGCCCTTTCAGAAGCCCTGCCCATGAGAGCTGTCGGAAAATTGAGAGAAGAGACACATGTAGTGAAACAGAGCGTGCAAGGAGGGGAGATAGAGCAGAGCGTTGAGCCATCTTGGAGGCTGTCTTGGAGCGTCGGAGGCCTTCTTGAAGCTACGGGGCTGTTTGGGTGGATATTGGGTCCTCTTGAAACTTTTTTGGGGCCTATTGGAGCCCTCTTAGGGCTCTTTGGGGGTCTTGGGGTCCGCTTGGGGCTCTTTCGGGGCGTCTTAGGGCCCTCATGGGGCCCTCTTGGGGGTCTTTTGGGACTCTCTTGGCTTTCTCTTGGGAGCTATGAAGCGCCTCTTGGGGCCGTCTTGGAGACCATCGATCAAAGGAGGGGGGGGGGTCCTCGATTTGCCCCCCCCCTCCAGGGCCATCAAAATCGCCTCTTGGGGCCCTCATGGGGCGCTCTTGAGGCGATCTTGGGCGCTCTTGGGGCCGTCTTGGGGGCCTCATGGACCCCTCTTGGAGCTTTTTTGGGCCAACTTGGGGCCATGTTGAGGCCTCACAAGCGCATCGGAAGCGAAAAGGCGAGAAGGCAACAATCAATGATTTTCCTCAGATTTTTGAAGGATTTTGGCTTCTCGGGGGGGCCCCGAGGGAGCTCTGAGAGCACCTGGAACGGTCTTGTGGCCCTCTTGGGGCCTCTTGGAAGCATGTTGTCAGTTTTCTTGAGCTATGTTGGGCTATCTTGAGTGATCTTAAAAGCTATCTTGGGCTCTCTTAGGCCATCTTGGAGCCATCTTGACAGGAAAGGGGCCCTCTGCCACCTCGCGGTTCGCCCCGCCCAGGTCCAGGGGAGGGGGTAGGGGGAGGGGTAAACCCTTCCCCGAAGGGGAAGATGGGGTTTTGGAAGAGGGAAGAAAGACATCGTCAGACCACCTGCGCCCAAAGGGCTGGTGGGATTTTCTCCTTGCTCCTCGGCCTTGGGCTTGCCACTTGCAGGCCGTGCGCTGGCGCGGAGGTACATCATGAGCAGCAGCAGCAGCAGCAGCCTGAGGATCCCGCTGAATGCCGTCGAGGCAGCCACTCGAGTCCATCCTCAGCCGACCCATGTGGACGATCAAGCTGATGATGCTGCTGGACGCACGTTGACGACGCGACCTACACTCACGCAAAACAAGTTTGATCTTTGGGCACAGGGCAACTCTGTGAAGCTCAGCGGGGGCAGCACGATGCACAGGCGGCTGGTGCTGGTCGTGGTGGCGATGGCGACCGCGGCGAGCATGGTGTCTTTCTGCGTGAGCTTCACCGTGAGTTACGTAAATGGGCTGCTGGAGGCAGCAAGGGCTTCTGGCATTGCGTCGCCCCTGACGGTGCAGATCGTGTTGTCCACCCTGCTGCTCTGGGGGGCTCGCCTGATGGTGGCGTGTGCGCCAGCCGCGAAGGGTTCTGGCCTGCCGGAGATCAAGTGCATGTTGAGCGGATGGCGAGCCGAGCACATTGAGGTGAAGCCGGAGGTGCCTTGGATGCCAGCCTCCACGTTCGTGAGCTGCTCCACATTCGGGGAAACGTGAGACTCGAGTACGCCGGAACTCGGGTTCGCCGACGCTTCTTGACGAGCCCGTCCGGAATTTTGACGGTCCCGTTTTCGTGGGAAGTCTGCAGCGGGAGCCCGCGTCAAATATTTCAGACTGTGTCGTGTCATTCTCACGATGGCCCGGTCGGGCCGACCCGAGCTCCCCCAACCCGAGTCTTACGTCTCCCCGACACATTGGTGGCCAAAGCCGCGGGGCTCACGATACGCATCCTGAGATCCTTCAGCTCAGCGATCTGGCCCCTGAGCGTCTCCACGGCGACTGGGGAAGCGAGGATTACTGAGCTGATGGATTCCGGTATGCAAGGACGCCGGAATCCATCGGTTCAAGAATCCTCGCCTCTCCAGTCGCCGTGGAGACGCTCAGGGGCCAGATATCCGAACGGAAGGATCTCAGGGTGCGTGCGATGGCACTCGCCGGCGGGATGCCGCTGGGGCGCGAGGGCCCCTTCGTCCACGTCGCCGTCTGCATCGGCGCGCAGCTGCTGGGCTTCTGCCAGCTTCTCCGCAGCGCCGGCGCCCGGGAGCACCTGCTGCAGGCCGCGGTGGCCGTGGGCGTGGCTGTGACGTTCACCGCGCCCATCGCCGGGCTCGTCTTTGCGATGGAGCTGATGATGCCACATCTCTACGACAACGGGATGAAGCGAATCAGCTTCCTGGCCTCAGCCATAGGCACGCTGGTCTTCAAGACCTTCTACATGTGGGCCGGGCCGGGCACGCTGCTCCCACTGGTGTCCTCCGACATGCGGGCATCAGATTCGGGCCATGGGATCTTGTGCAAAGGGGGCCACAATCATGTGCGCAATAGTGCATGGAAGGGTTTATATCCCACACATACATCGTACAATACCCCCGTGCTCTGGTTGGGATGCCGTTGTCCGTGTGCGCGAATGCAGTAGTTTGTTTCTGTTACGCAATAGTTCGCTCTCTCGTTTATCTTGCGATCGACAGTTCGCAATAGTTGGCGTTCCAGGGTGCAGTACTTTCGTCTGACCAGGCAATAAGGGATCTGGCTCATGCAGTAAGCTAGCCCGCTGGCGTAATAGTTTGCAGCTGTTGCGCGCATGAGTTGGAGTAGTTCACTCACGCAATACACCAATTATTACATTTGCGTTTGCGGACCCACTGTGACGGCCCCCTTTGCCCAGGCTCAGCGGCTACGGCGACCGTGCAAGAGTGGTTGCTCGTCACTGCCTGCAGTGGCGTGCTTGGGCTTCTGCAGGGGCTTCTGGGCGGTTTCTTTGTCCGCTTCCACGAGTGGATGACGGTCGTCGTCAAGGCACTGCGTGGCAAGCCGTTAGTGCCAGACTGGCCAGACAAGAGCTCGCTGGGGTGGGACATGTTGCTGCTCGCTGTGCTCGCCCTGGTCGGGGCTGTGCTGCAGCTCGTGCCCGAGTGTCCGCTCTTTGGCATGGCTCCTGGTGGGGCAATGTCGAAGCACCTGTTCAGCGTGAACAGCTTCGCCGACACCGACTTGGTCGTCCTTCTCTGCGTCTTTGTTGTGCGGTGGGTCCAGTGTAGTGTCTGCCTGAGCATGCCCGTGCCCTCGGGCTGCATCGCGCCGATGCTGATGCTGGGAGGCATCAGCGGGAGGATCTACGGCCGCGTCGCGGCCGAGGTGCTCTGTCCACGGATCGGATGTAGCGAGGGCAGCCTCACCTTCCAGAGCGCGAACCACCTGGCGGCCTATCTCGCAGTGATCGGCGCCAGCTCCTTCTCCTCTGCAGTCTGTGGGTGCCTCTCCATCGTCATCGTGATGTACGAGCTGATCGACCTCCCAAGGGATGCCATCGTCCCCCTGGCACTCGCGCACATCATCGCGAACTGGGTTGCTCGGAACGTGATGGACACGTCCTCCATATTGCGAAGGCCTTACGGCCATTCCAGACGCGCCGATCCTGTGTGCTGGGATGATGATGATGATGATGATGATGATGATGATGATGATGATGATGATGATGATGATGATGATGATGATGATGATGATGATGATGATGATGATGATGATGATGATGATGATGATGATGATGATGATGATGATGATGATGATGATGATGACGATGATGATGATGATGATGACGATGATGATGATGATGACGATGATGATGATGACGATGATGATGATGATGCTGATGATGATGATGATGATGATGATGATGATGATGATGACGATGATGATGATGATGATGATGATGATGATGATGATGATGATGATGATGATGACGATGATGATGATGATGCTGATGCTGATGCTGATGCTGATGATGATGATGATGATGATGATGATGATGATGATGATGATGATGATGATGATGATGATGATGAGGAGGAGGAGGAGGAGGAGGAGGAGGAGGAGGAGGAGGAGGAAGGAGTAGTAGGAGCGGGAGGGGGGAAGCGGCGAAGGAGAGAGAGTGGGACGGGGGGGGGCTCTTGGGGCCATCGTGGAGCCCTCATAAGGGGCCATTTCGGAGTTCTCAGAGGTTCTCTTGGGCCTCTCTTCGTGCCCTCCTGGGGCTCTCTTGGGGCGTTCTTGGACGCCATCGATCACAGAAGGAGGGTTTCATGCGTCCCTCCCCGTCGGGGTGTGAGAATTAGCCTCCTTGGGCCTTCTTGACGCGTTCTCGAGGCGCCCTCGGTCGCTCTTGACACTCTCTTGGGGCCACTTGGGCGCCTCTGGGACCCTCTTAGGCCATCTCGGAGCCATCTTGAGGTCTCAAGAGCCCGTCGAAAGTGGGACTGTGAGGAAGCTGAAAACATTGGGAGACATTCGGATTTTTGTAATGAATTTTGCCCTCTTGGGGGACTTCTTGGAAAATTCCGTGGCCACTTGGAGCCGCCTTGGAGCGGATCTGAGGGCTCTTGGAGGCATGCTGGAAAATATCTTGAATCGTTGTAGGGTGTCTTGAACGATCTTGTGGGCAATCTTGGGCAAACTACGCCCTGATGGGGCCATCTGGAGTTCCAGGGAGAGGTGGCGCACCCTCAGGACCCCCCAAGAACCCCCTCCCAGGACCCTCCCGGGGACCCCCTCCCAGGACCCTCCCGGGGACCCCCTCCAGGACCCTCCCTGGGACCTCCCCCGCGGGACCCCCACCCTTGGACCTCCTCCGCGGAGCCCCCCTCCCCCAGGACTTCCCCCAGGACCCCGCAGGAGGACCACACCAGACCCCTCCCCCCAAGCGGGGGGGATCAAAGAGAAGCGGCTTCCTTTCGTCTCGACTCTGATGTCGCTTGATTTCCTTCTTTCTGGCGCGCTTGAGGAGGAGGAGGGCTCACTGAGTCCTCTGCAGTCCAATGGAGAGGTGACGCACCCCCGGGATCCCTCGATGATGATGTTGCTCGATTTCTTCCTGGAGGGCGCGCGAACAGCGTCTCAAATACGCCGCCAGGGCCAGCGGATTCGACGCACCCCTGAAGTTGGCGAAGCTCAAGGCACTGCCCGTGCTCAATGCGTCCAAGGCGTGCCTGAAGAGCGTCTCCTCGCGCATGCGGAGCATGGACCAGGTGAGGGCGTTCGTGGTGCCCCGCCAGTGCACCAGCCAGGATCTCCAGAATCTGCGGGGCCAGCTCGAGCTCGCGCGCGCCAGGGACGAGTCGCCGCCGTCGGCGCTGCCCATTGTGGAGCGCCTGCCGTCCTTGCCCTCGGGTGGGGAGTGCTGCGCCCTGCTTGGCGTGATACCGGCCTCGTCGCTGGACCGCCTCGCCGCGGCCGTGGCACGACGCGAGGCCCCGAGGGGCGGCGCACCTGCGCAGGCAGAAAGCTTCGGAGGCCCGCGCGGATTTCCTGGGCCGGCGCCAGGCGCCCCCCCCCGCCCACCGGCGCGCCCCCGGCGCCGCCCCTGGCGCGCCTCGCGCGCCCGACCCTGTGGAAGGCGGACCTCCGAACGTTCCAGTGGCAGTGCCGTGTTTTTTCAGGAGGGAAAGGAACACACAGACACAGTTCATCGTCGACTCCCAGGAAGAGATGGGGAAAATCTGGGAAGTGGGCGGGGAAGACGAAAACCCAGAAAGCCTGGGAAACTATGGGGACGCTGTCATTTGCGTATATATATATATATTTGTTTGTGTGCCCCTGGGCCCCTTCATTCTTGCTGGGCTCGCCTCTCCAGGCTCCCGGCGCCGACGTGCCGAGCGCCGCGAGCTCGCTCGCGGCGGACGCGCTGGTCCTGGCCGGCCGGCACGGCCTGCTGGAGGAGCCGCTCGTGGTGAGCCCCTGGATCTCTCTGCGGGACGCCTACATCAAGGCTCGGGGCGGACGAGACGGAGAGGAGGAGGAGGAGGAGGAGGAGGAGGAGGAGGAGGAGGAGGAGGAGGAGGAGGAGGAGGAGGAGGAGGAGGAGGGGAGTCAAGCCCTCGATAGAAGCCCCCACCCCCATGAGGGGTCCCACAAGCCTGGGGAGGTCCTTAGGCATGTTGTAGGAGAAGATTCAACGCTTCTGGCGGCTCAAGTTGTGCTCAACTCAAAACCTTCTCTCCTCCGCCTTCTCCATTGTTTGCTTAATAATGTCATATTCCTAATATCATCCTCCTTCTCTCCTCCCCCTCCCTCCTCCTCCGTCTCTCCTGCTGCTTGTCCTTCTCTCTCGTGTGCGTTGGTATGTGCAGGCGCGCATGTGTAGATGTACGACGCGTTTTCGTGCGCATCCTCGTATACGAGTCAGTTGTTGGTAAACGTGCGAGTCTTGGTGGCATCTATGGGAACTCGCGGGGTCGTGTTTTCTGGATCCGCCATCGAAGCGTCGTCGCGCAAGATGGTTAGGATTCGCCACCGAAATAACATTGCGTCTTACTGTTGCTGGATCCGCCATCGAAATGGCCAACTTTGTCAAATAGAGTCTCCCAGTAGCGATTTGATGTCGAAACGCAATCCTGCATCAATGTTGTGGCTTCGAGTCTTTCTTGAATTTGGGCTTTTCTCCCAGAAGTTGTCGGCCCCTCCAACTCAGCCGCTTCGGAGATGGAAGCGGCCGCGGCCGCCATTCCGCTCCCTCCGCCTGGCGCGCCGCATGGCGGCGGCACTATCCTGCCGATGTCGCCAGATCACATCCGCGCGGTCGAAGACGTTGACGACAGGTCGATGATCTTGGTCAACAGGTTGACGTACCAGACCGCCAAAACGTTGGCCCCGCCAGCGAACGAGGTCTGGCAGCTCAAGTTCACAGAGGACGAGCCCGCCCTCGCGTTCTTGGCCAGCGAGACGGAATCATCTTGGGAGCCACTTTTCATATTTCTTTTTTTCTGTGCTTTCGAGGGATGGGAGAGTCAGGGGGAGGGCGCTGGAGGGTCGGGCGGAGACATGAATCACGAACGGGTCCGAGGATAAGAGAACGGGTCATGTGGGAGGGAGGCCTTACGAATGCGACATCAGGGTAGGAGTAAGAGGACTAGAACGAAAGGAATAACGAGCAGGGTCGGAGGTGAGGACTGTATAGAATAGGGGGTAGGGAGGGCAGAATTAAATAGGATGGGGGGCAGGGAGGTGAGGATTGTATAGGATAGGGGGTATCGCCTCACTACTCCAAAAGGGCTTACGCCAATCCGCCGACTCCAGGAACGAGTGAGAGCGTGCGACGCCTTTTGACGCGACGAGTCTGCCAAGGCCCCAGGGAACCGAATGAGATTTCTCGGGGTGTCTCTCGGGGTGCTCTTGGAGGGATCATAGGGATATCTCTTGGAGTCTTTTGGGGGTGGCACCGCAGGGGGCTCCACGGGGTCAGGGTGGTTCCGTTCACACGGCGCTTTCGCGTAGGGGGCGTGTCTGTAATTGCTCGGGGTCTGCGTGCGTCGCTCCTCTTTCTCACAAGCGGAAATCCGCTCGCAATGTCTCCGGGTTGAATGCGAGCCCTCGGTCCGAGACCGATCTCTTTCCGTAGCTTTTTTCGGCTCGAGAGTCGTTTGTGTTCTTGGCTTCTTCGGTAGGCCCAGGGCTCCAAGCGCGCAGAGGCATGCCGACGTCTGCTGATGCTAGCCCGAGCCCGAAGAAGGCCAGGCGGTCTCCTCCAGCATCATCTGGCAGCAAGTCCCGTTCTTCTCCTGGGGTCAAGGGCTCTGCGACTCGGCCCGCTGTACCGTCTTGGCCAGAGATCATGAAGCGCAAGACCCAGTTCGAGCGCGACTGCGCGCGAGACTCCTTGACCTCCCAGTTGCCTGAGGACCTCCGCAAAATCGTGTGGGAGCTGATCGTGAATCCAGCGAAGATCCAGGGCGCTTGTAGCCTCATTTCGAGGTCAGTCCTTGCGGAAGCCCCAGTCGTTAAGAAGAAGCGCGGGGTCAAGGCCGTCGACGACGCCGCCGCCGAGTATTGGGACATCGACAAGAACTCGCAGATCCCGAAGTACTGGCTGTGGGAGGTAGTGCGCCTTTTGTCGGGCGACGGCACCATCACAGAGGCCTTCATCAGTAAGTGCGACAAGAAGGACAGGGGCTTCGTTCGAAAGCTCGTGGAGGCCATGACTGGGCTTCGCTCGACGTACAAAGTGCTCGATCAGATGAAGCAGAAGCGTTTGGCAGGCCGCGTCGTGGCCAGGCTCTTCGACATGTGCGGCAAGCGCTGGGACGCAATCAAGGACATGCTGGATGGCAACACCGTGAAGTGGGAGCAGCGTGGCGTGTTCGAGATGTGCCAGCCGAACGAGCGCGGCGTCGTCACCCACATCAGGCACATCTGTGGCAAGACCGCCAGCGTTCCCAGGAACAACATGGTCACGACTGATTGGTGGTTCGAGCAGAACTGGTCGGACAAGTACGCTCGCCTCACCGATGGCGAGTCGGGCTTCCTCTGTTACACGCGCTTCGCGGACCAGCACGACACGGACTGGTTCAAGATCGCGTCGGACCCAGCGGACATGCTCAAGGAGGTCGCGACGCAGGAGCAAGCCAAGCTTGAGTCTGATTGCAGGAAAGTCTCGGCCACTGACGTCAAGATATCGGACGCCGTCGCCTTGGCAGCAGAGGGCGCCAAGCGCCGTAAGCTGAGCACGAAGGGCCCCCCGAGTCAGAAGATGATGACCACGGCGCCCACTCCGTCAGCAGCAACTGCGAGGCGCGTTGCGCCTGAGGAGACGACGCCTGATGACGACATCGGCCAGTAATTAGGTGTTTTTTGTTAGAGCTGGCTGGTGACTGCCAGCCTGCTGCGCTCGCCTTCATCGCAGGTTGAAGGATGGATGAGACACAGAGGAGGAGTTAAGGGGAGGATGAGTCAGGGGCAGGGCGGATAAGCAGTGCAGCAGCGTCGCAGCATTGAGCTACATACGGTTTGGTTCTCTCTGCCCGTCGTAGGGCCGATCGAGGCTGAGCGCAAGGCGGCGCTGCGAGCAGCGCAACGCGAGAAGATAGTTGGAGGCTGTGGGTACCCTCGGTAGTCGTCTTCTCCAGGTAGGTGTGTCCATATGAGTGCCTGCGCCTGGTCTCGTTATTCGCATGTAGGTAGGGCTGCTCGCGATCGCTGGCAAGGTTGATATAGCATCTGCCACGTAGGTAAAACATATGCCAGTTCGCAGCATTTCGATGGAAGTTAAAACGTGAAAACCTCGCAGCGATTCCACGTGTCTGCTCGCAACCGCCGGGGGCCGATGACGTCGATGCAGCGAGTGACCTCAGCGAAAGGCTGGGGCGGGCTTAAGCGGCTCATTTGCGGAAGGGTGGCGGAGAGGGAGGAGAGGAAGGATGAAGGAGGATGAGAAGGAAGAGGAGCGTCGTGGGTATGTAGCCGACGACGTTGCATATACGAAACAAAGACGTTGTGGAGGGGGGAAGTGGTGATGATTCAAAACCGTACCAAACATGTGTTCCAGGGGCCAACGTTAAACCGCCACGGTAGAACTGCCCAACTTCTGAAATGGTGTTCTCTAAAAGTTTACCGTGCCCTTCGCACTTGGAACCCCCTCTATCTCGCGCAATGCTCCCACGTCCCACCGTGCCGTCTCCCGCGTCGTGCAGCGTGGATGGCCTTGTTTGTTTTTCGACGGTCTTCGGATCGACATTCGCCGTTCGCTCCATGGGACTTGTGCGCCTGCCATTTTCTTCGAACAGCAGGCCCCTGATATCAATCATATCTTCAGGTAGCCGAGTATTTGCATCACGTGGTGTTCGTCAATCCGTCCGATGGGATGGAGTTCGTCTCTATTACCGACGCGTTTGGCACGCACCAGGTGTGGTTGCAGAACTACTGGGGCGACAACAGGCGGACCTCCATGCCGATCCAGTTGTCAGGTGGAGACGCTACCTTCATGAGGATTGCGGTTTGGCGTCATGAACAGGACGGGTGCCATGTGTGGTGGGAAGTGCCTCAGTTGTTCGACATGCTTGGTCTCAGTCTGAAGAAAGGGGCGGCCTCGTGGATCCAGAGTAGGAAACATGCGTGGTCCCGTTATCTTGGTAGGATGCCTCTTATGTTTCCACACTTGCGCCCCAGCTCTCCATACGCTAACGTTGAGAGGAACCTCAGCAAGCAAGAGGCAGCGAACCGCCCATTGCAGCACACCAGCTTCAGTTCGGTATCGTTGGTGGTCATGCTATGGGGATGGGGCTCTGGCAATCAAGCTCACTGCGGCTTCGCGTCCGAGGATGCTTGCACGATGTCCCTCATGCTGTTGGACGGTCTGGCGGCTTCCTTGCCGCAGTTCGACATCCGCGTGAACATCGATCCAGAGTCCGAGCGCGTTGGGCGTTTCACGGTAGGCAGGAACCCGAAGTTTGTCACGATGAAGGGTGGCACGATCAACAGGCTCCAGCTCTACGCCATCATTGCCGATGCGTTCAATGCCTTTCAAGTGCCCGCCGAGTTTGAAAATACCGCCATTTGGAGTGATGCGAAGGATGAGTTGACTTTAAGCGACCTCTGTCAGATGTTCACGGCCTCGGCGGACCCTGTGAAGAATGATTGGCTTGTCAAGCAGATCTTGTGGGGCGTCGGATCTACTCTGGACGCGCAGGTCGCCAAGGCACAGGAGATGAACGTGGTCATGCCGCACTACTCTGTGTTCGAGGAGAATTTGTTCGGGACGACGGGCGTCCTGCAACCGCCTGATGGCGTGGCCTCTTCGCGGATGCTGCTGCGCTACATGACCGCTGCCAAGAGGCAGTTCGCTGACGCCGACCGCCTGAGCTTCATCATGGACGGCAGCAGGCAGGACCACAGGAAGATCATGTTGGGCGTCGTGGTGAACTCGGATGATGTGGCGGCTTGGGCTCCTCCTCAGGCCAGGGTGTTCCGAGATCCATCGGCCTAGATCCCTGGGAT